TTATAGTAATTACATAAACAAATTGTATTATACATAAAAACACACACACATATAAACTTATATATACACACATATATTATACATATATAAGAGAGAGTATACTTATATATACTTATACATATATTATACATATATAAGAGAGAGTATACTTATACATTATACTTATATATATATATATATAATATATATTATATACTATATATAATATTATATATAAATATATATATATATATATATATATATATCTATAATATATATATAAATATATATAATATATATTATATATATATTATATATATATATATATATATATATATTATATTATATAATACAATTATATAAGAGATAATATAAATAAATAAAGGAGAGTATACTGATATATACTTATATAAGGAGAGTATAACACTTGTATACCTTATATATATAACTTATAGCATATATTTACAATATATATATATATATATTATATATATATATATATATATATATATAATTATATATATATATATAATATATATAAATGTATATCTTCTATATATTATAATATATATATAATATATGATATATATATATATATATATATATATATATATATATTATATATATATGATATATATAATATATATATATATAATATAGTATATATATATATATATTATTTACATATATAAGAGAGAGTATACATTGTATACTTATATATACTTATACATATATTAACAGAGCATATTTATACATATATATACTTATATAAGAGAGAGTATACTTATATATAATTATATACTAAGAGAGAGTATATATATATATATATATATATATATATTATACACAATATATATACATATACATATATTTTATATATAAGAAAATAAAAAAAAAATAAAAATAAAAAAATTTTACTGTTCCGGGCCCGGACCCGGGTTTTGCCCGGGTTTCCGGGCCCGGGCCGGGCCCGGGCTCTGGGCTTTTTGGACACCCCTAGTTATAACTCATGGTATTATAAATTTTAGTATCTACAAAATTATTTATTAACGGGTTAAGATGTCTAAAAACAGCCAAAAATCATAGCTTATAACTCAAGAAGTCATGAAATTTTGACATCACAAAATTATTTGCAAAGAGGTCGAAACGACTAAAATTAGCCAAAAATCGTGGGTTATATCTCATAAATCGTGAATTTTGGTCATCGCAAAATTCGTTAGTGAGTTTTCTATTTACAAAGATAAAACCCACTCTCTATTTTCAGGAGCAGTAGAACCATTGAGAATAAGAATCAATATATCAACTTTGATCTCTTTAACTAGTTGATCAGCCCCCTTGGATTTCTGAACAAATATCCTAGAATTTCTTTCATTCCATATCTTGTATAGTGAAGCATTGAAGGTCATCCTCTTAGTCTTTTGCTTAAACCCCTTGCCTCTCAAACTGGTAGTATATCATTCCAATATATAGTTCCAGCTGCAGGAACGCCATCTGAATTGGAGCCACACCATAATCTTATTCAAACATTTGTAGAGAACTCACACTCAAAGAAGAGATGATCACGGCTCTCAAATGCAACACCATTGCATAAACAACGGGAATTTGCAGTCAAAACCCTCATCATAGACAACATGTCTTGCGTTAACAATCTATTTTGAACAGCAAGCCAGCTAATGATAGAATGCTTGGGATAATTCATACTCTCCCAAATAGTATTATACCATGAAACTTTGAGAGAATTTGGAGATAAGGCCAAATACAAGGCCAAATAGTATTATACCATGGAACTTTGAGAGAATTTGTTAGTGAGTTGAAACAACTAAATATAGCAAAAAAATAATGGATTATAGCTCATGAATCATGAATTTTGACCTCTGCGAAATTATTTGCTAAAAGGTAAAAATAACTAAAAATAACCAAAAATCAAGGCTTATATAGCTCGAAAATCATGAATTTTTATCTCTGCGGAACTATTTGCCTACAGGACAAAATGACCGAAAATCACATGGGCTATAGCTTAGAAATCGTGAACTTTGATCTCTGCGAAGTTATTTGTCAATGGTCAAAACAAAAGAAGGGTCAAAAATCGTGGATCATAGATCACAAAATTGTCAAAAATGGCCAAAACTCTTGGTTTATATAGATAACAAAATCATGAAATTTTTATTTTTGTGAATTTATTAAGCAATGGGTCAAAATAACTAAAATTGACCAAAACTCTTGGCTTAGAGATAATGAAATCATGGATTTTTTTTATTTTTGTGAATTTATTAAGCAATGGGTTAAAATAACTAAAAATGGTCAAAATCATGGGCTGTAGCTCATGAAATCATAAATTTTGATCATCATGAAATTATTTAACATCGGGTCGAATTGATTAAAAATGACCAAAAATTATAGGTTATAGCTTACAAAATCATGAATTTTGACCACCGCGAAACTAATTGACAACAAGTCGAAATGACTAAAAATAGCAAAAAAAATATGGGTAATAGCTCATAAAATCATGAATTTTTGTCCACCGTAAATTATTTGAAAAGTGGTAGAAACGACTAAAAATGGCCACAAATCATGGGTTATAACTCATGAAATCTTTAACTTTGGCATCTATGAATTTATTTGACAACGGATGAAAATGACTAAAAATGGTTAAAAATCATGGGTAATAGCTCAGAAAAATATAATTTTTAGCCTACATGAAATTATTTGTCAATAGGTAAAATAAAAATAGCCAAAATCATGGATTATAGAATTTTAGCCTCCGCAAAATTATTCGCCAATGCATCAAAATGAATAAAAATACCACAAATCATTTGAAATTGCAAATTTTGGCCATTGCAAAATTATTGACAACGAGTCAAGACAACGAAAAATTAACAAAAATCGTAAGTTATAACTCAAGAAATCGTGAATTTTGACATTCGGGATGGGTCGAAATGACTAATAATCATTAATCGTGGAATTTTAATCACCATTCGAAAAAAATAAAAATGGTCAAAAATCATAAGTTATAGCACACAACAGTGTAAATTTTAATGTCAATGAAATTATTTGGCAATTAGTTGAAACGAGAAAAAGATTAAAAAATTTGTGGGTTATAAATCATGAAACTATGAATTCTAGACTTGACAAACTTACTTGTCAGTGGGTCAAAATGACTAAAAATGGTAAAAAAAACTTACGGGTTATAACTCATAAATTCCTAAACTTTAAATTTTGCAAAATTATTTAGCAATTGTTCAGAACGACTAAAAAAGTAAAATAATAGTGGGTTATAGCTCATGAAAGCTTAAATTTTGTCCTCTACAAATTCCTTATCCAATGAGTCGAAACAACTAAAGATAGCCGAAAATCGTGGAGCATATCTAACAAAATCATGAATTTTAGACTACGCAAAATAATTTACCAGTTAGCTCAAAGCAATTAAAAATGTCCTATAATTGTGGGTTATATAGCTCACGAAATCGTGAATTTTAACTTCTATAAAATTATTTGCCAATAGATCGAAACGACTAAAAATCGTGTGTTATAACTCATGAAATTTTAAGTTTTAGCCTCCATAAAATTATTTGTCAATGAGTTGAAACGACTAAAAAGGCAAAATCGTAAGTTATAGCTAATAAAATCGTGAATTTTGACCATCGCGAAATTATTTGATAGCGAGTTGAAACTACTAACAAATAGTCAACAAATGTGTGTAAGATCTCATTAAATTATGAATTTTGACTTCCGTAAAATTATTTACAAACAGTTAAAACAATTAAAAATAGACAAAAATCATGTGTTATAGCTCATAAAATTAAAATATTTTACTAGTGGGTGGAAACGACTGAAAATGACAAAAAATAATGGATTGGATTATAAAATCATAAATGTTAACTTCCACGAAATTGTTTGCAAATGGGTTGAATCAACTAAAAATAACATATAATCATGAGTTATAGCCTACGAAATCTTAAATTTTAACCACCGTCAATAGATCAAAACGCCTAAAAATAGTCAAGCTATAGGTTATACATCACAAAATCATAAATTTTTACCTCAACAAATTTATTTGCCAACGGATTAAAATGACTAAAAATGACAAAAAAAATCATGAATTATAGCTTAAGAAGTCGTGCGTTTCAACCACCAAAAAATTATTTGCAAGAGGGTTAAAACAACTAAAAATAGCTAAAAGTCCTAAATTATAATTCATTAAGTCATGAATTTTGGTTACAGTAAAATAATTTGCAAATAAGTCAAATGACTAGAAATAGCAAACAATAGTTAATTATAACTTGTAAAATTATAAATTTTGGTCTTCGCAAAATTATTTGGCAACAAATCGAAACAAGTTAATAATAATGAAACTTATAAAAATAACAACGATGATACTCTCTTCTGGATCAGTCGGCAGTAGTACAGAAGATTAGTTAAAATCCAAGCATCGTACTTGACTGTAGCGTTAAATGGTTTTCTGCATCTAAAAAACAAATGACGAAGGTCCAGCATACGCATGAGCTGCCATCCCCACTGTTTTCCTGCCTTTGATTTATTGCACAGCAGAGTTTTTTTTTTTTAGCAGCTGGAACTTCCCGATAACAGGTTAAAGTAAAGTTCCAACACTTACTCAGGTCTTAACCTGCCACTTGAAAAATCTATAGCGTCAACTATCAGGAATCAAACCAAGCAAATACGCTGCCCAATAAATCAACATAATTATCCCAACAAATCAGAACCATTTAAATCACTTCTGGAGTATCATTTTGGCATTTAAATTGCAGCGGATCAGCTTCCTGCGTCCTGCAGTTTCTTCAAATGAAAATCAGGATAAAACATAACCACTACGACAACAGAAAGTCATGGGGATGCAAAACTAGCACGAGGACTCTTTACATCATTCACAAGCATACGATCTGACATAGGGATAAGCTCCTATATGCTACTCCTGGAAACAAAAAGGTAGCCATTAACTAGATCATGAAAAGAAAATTTCAAGAGAATTGAGAAGTAATGATTGAATAAACTACCCAATCAAATAATCAAAGCAAATAACTTATAGCCATTTATTTACTGTAGAGAATGCAATTTCTTGTGCAGGCTAGAAAGGAAAAACTTCATCTTGTGACTGATTTGAATCGTACAGAAAATATGCATCATCACAAACTATGTGCAATTACCATATACAGCTAGAAAATCCTCTTGACTTGCAAGTTGGCAGTGAGATCATAACAGCATCATACTCCAGCAAAACCTTCAGAAAGAATTCTTGCGCTTCAATAGCCTGAATCTAGATAGAAAATTATTGTGTGTTTAAAGACATTTCTGGAGCTAGATCAGTTAAATATACAATACTTCGTAACCTTCTTCTGCCACTACAGCTGTTTTACAAGTTTCATTTTACATGCAAACTCAATATGCCTCCTGCATCCTCTGCATAAGAACTTATCCAAAGTATAACATGACTCTAGATTCTCCCTATATCATAAACACAGAAAAAAAATTGTCAACCACAGATAAGGAAAATCATATGTTTTTCAAAATTGGATTGACACGATAAAAAATAAAGGCATTGTTTTTTACACCATTGCTCATTGCATGAGTTGGAAAAAGAAGATAGCCATTTGCACTCATCATGTACTCGGGATTATTCTGTGTATGACATCTTAAAATACTGGATCTAGATCAAAAGATCAAAAGAAACCATTACATTGTTTACTATGTTTATAGAGGAAAAAAAAGGGAAAATGGTCGTCATGCGCTCCTTAACATACATAAAGCCACAGCCATCAGGCCTACAGCTAGTATACCATGAATATATCAAAATCATTCTCCTTAAGATACATAAAGCCACAGCCATCAGGCCTCATACCTAATACACCATGATGATACCAAAATCAGGATATCAGAAGTAATGCTAATATACCATGAAGATACAAAAAGCTACAGCAATCAGGCCTAATGACAGTATACCATGAATATATCAAAACCATTATCCTTAAGATGCATAAAGCCACAGCATCATCAGGACTAACATTAATACATCATGAAGATATCAAAATCAGGCCATCAGGCCTACTGCAAATATACCATGAAGATACATAAAGCCACAGCCATCAGACCTGATGCACAAAGCCACAGCCATCAGGTCTGATTCTAGTATACCATGAAGATATCAAAATTATTGCCCACCTAGAACACTGTAACAAAGAAACACCATGTTGATGCTAAGTTCTTCATTCTGAACCATGTTTAAAGTTCTAGTAGTATTCATTCAAGTCTCATCACTTTAGTGGTTTGTGTAGCCATTTTTAAAGGAGTGATGGAAACAGGTCTCAGTTTTGTTCAACCATTTCCCCTCATTGTATGCCAAAAAATTGAACCATCCAAAAGTTACATATAGATTTGCAATATTAAAAGGAAATATGTTACAGAGATTCAAAGTGATGATCCAGTTACGCACCTTATATAATCACATGCAGTCGTGTTTTTAAGTGACTTTCATATAATAACACTGCCGGCGGCACCATCACCCATGTCCTCAGATTCACAGGAACTAGGGCAAAGGGAGACTCAACCTAACAGGTCAAATCTTCTTTACTGAGAGGGAAAAGCCTAAAATCCTCATCTAGATGCTAGCTCAAAGTGCAAATAACTAGATATAGGAAGCAAGTATCATAAAAAAACAGCAAACAATTTTCAGCAACTCTCCAATGCAGTGTCCTCAATCAGAGAGTTTACTCCAAAAATATAAATGAAAGAATAATATATCTTTCCAATGAGTTTGATTATGGTGCAAAAAAACAATAGTCTCAAAATTCTGATATAATTTGTGGCTGGCTGCACGTAGGTAACAAAAAACACGTTCAAAAACATAACTAAAATTTTGCCAATTAAACACGACTTAAATTCAATTTTGCCAATTACAAATGCATTTCTAAGTGCAAAGCTCTTTAGATACGAGTCATGTCACAAAGAAGTTTCTGCCCCTATTGAATAGTTATCAAACAATTGATGAATAACTACATATTGTTCTCAGTGAGCAAAAGCAACTAAATTCTATTTTATTAGCACATCTCAAGCGTGAAACATACTCTTTAATTTGGGGAAATTATTCAAGAAATGCAGGTAGACAATGTCTTTACACTCACTATGTTAGTTGAGGAACATAATACTTCAACATGAAGGCACAAAATATTTAAGAAGCATCACAACAATGTCAGATGAACAGCCCTCACACAAACATCAGTTAAAATGAAAAGAACACTGAATGTTCTACCAAACCAAAATCAGAAGGGTGCTTCTAGTATTAGCCTGTGATACATGGTGCAAAACGGATGCATCAGCACATACGGAAATGTATCAGTCAATGGCGAGAAAATGGAGTTCACCTGAAATACTAATGTTGATATCCACTTCAATTAGTTGATGAAATTGAGTTGATATGGTTGAAAGTGGCATACTTTTAAAGTTTCTTGGTTCAACTATTCTAAACATGCTTTCCCACTCTTGATAATATTAAGTACATATATACAAAAATTTCCCCAGGTTAGACCCTTCTATGCAAAACTTACATCAGAGAAACATGTTTCTTCTGACATGACCGAGTAAGTAATAAATTCTTCTGGAATCTTGCCGACTCTAATGTGGCAATGTTTAAAGATTGAGAGCTTATTGGCATGTTTACTCAGTCTACTAAAGGGTTTTCCTCCCTTAAGGTGACAAACCTATAACATTCTGATTTGCTGTGTGAGAAAAGCACCAAAACCACACCTTAGACATGCATAAATATATTATGAACTGCATCGTTCATATTTGCGATCTTCTGTTTCTGCAAGAAGTCCTCATCCTTAGTTTAAATATATGATCTGCAATTGGAATAAGGGAGATAGTATCGATAAAGATCCCATTCATTATGCATTTAGAGAGCATTAAAAGGACATGTTGTGGGACAGACCTAAATACTCTTTGTCAACTCAATCTCTACAAGTAATTTTTACATAAGGGCAATTGATCAGAAATATGTATTGTATAAATAATTGCCTGCTATAACAATATTAAAACTTTAGACACGTTTAAAGACAGAAATTTCGGAAATTGTCATGACTCAGTCTCATGAGAAACAAGCTAGGAATGAGATACAGGCAAAAGACCGAATGAACTCAACTCACACTTGCATGAAACCAATACTAACACAAATAAACATGCATTATTATAATGCAAAGACTTAATGCTATAATGATACAGTTTTATATATTTAGTGGTAAAATTTCTAGTTTCCAATTGTCTGTGTAAGCCAATCATCAGTAAATAAGGGGTGCCCTGAGACTGGAGCATATAAGTTGGATAAAAGCTGCTACCTTGAGCTAAAAATACCGAACCCCACCATCTCGGAGATGCTCATCTCTGCAAACTGACTCATCTGCTCCACAAAGAGCAAATCCAATACTGTATATCAGTGTAAGACTTAAAGACTCCCAGCATCCAGAGTCCAATGGGATATTAAGAATCAGTCTGACATGTCTTCCTCTCCACTGAATTGATCCATGCTGTCCATTCGAGGGATTTTATGCCGTGTTCCAGATTCATAATCCCTGAAAGATCTATCATGCTTTAAACCGGTGACATCTCCTGTGCCCTGTTATAAAATATAAAGAAAGCTCTTAGTCAAGATTTTCCTGACCAAATGCATTAATAATTTAATATGTAGCATACATTAAACCTGAGAGACTAACTCATCCTAGCACTGAAAGCAGGGAACAGGTAGAAGGAAGCATACTGATATTCACACAGTAACATGACACCTCAAAAGCCAAGAACAGAGAAGCACAATACGAGATCAAAGACAGTCAATAGGTTTCCTATTTTCGCATGTCAGTCATTGTATCATAGTTCACTTAATCTTCATAAAAAGACAAAGTAATGCAAGCAATTAATGTTCTTTGAGATTCATGCATGAAGCCAAAAAAGTACTTAAAAGATTCGCAGAACTCACAGGAAGTTCACTAAATAATAAGCATGCTTGTTTAAGCGTTTTAGAAGAGTCAGTTTCTCATGTTAAATTGCTTCCATCATTAAGAAGCGGAACACGTTTTGTTGACATTTTGGATGTTTATCGAGTGCGCTATTAAAAGAACATCCAATAGCAAAATGCTGAATCTAAAAGTGCACTCAAAAGATAGAACTTATTAGCCCCTTCCACCTTTATATAGAATGAATGCCTAAAGAAAATTATTCTTCCGAGATCTGTGCATCTAGACGAAACCATATCCAAGACTTCCTAACTTCACTCCTCGAATATTTGACAATGGAGTTAATAGAATTAGAGTAAACAAGTCACATTAGATGTTCAATAGGTTCATGTACATTATCATGACAGCTTCGAATTAATGTCTGATTCAACGAACTTGTAGAATGTCCAGAACACATTCGCTGCACCATGCATTAAATTCGTGCATATTTGGCATCACAGCTTCGGCTTACGAGCATTAGATGTATTTGCAAAAGATCCAGAAGACATTCATTGTATCATACATGAACCCTTAGGGATAAGAATGGTGAGTTTTCAATTTCCCTCTTCTCCTTTGATACTTAAAAATGGTGTTAACAGGATTAAATACATCTTTCCAGATACCCTAGAATTCATGTAAATTATCACGATGAGCTCGAATTAATGTCAACTTCAATGAACATGTACAACATCTATAATACATCACCATGCATTACTTTTAAATGTAAGGACAGAGTTAATAAGCTGAATTTAAATTCATGCATGTTCCGGTCATAGTCTTCGCTTACATGTATTTTTACAAAGCCACCACAGGTATTTGTAACAAAACATACAAGACATTCGTTGCACCATACATGAACATTGAAGGGATGAGGATGGTTAGCTAATCTTCCACAAAGTAACAAATTTATGCATTATGAACTAATGATGTTCCTTTGTAGTGTGCATCCCATGAACTAAGCTTGGCATATAATTTATTGTTAAAAAAAATCTCGAGGTATTTGCTAAAATTCCACGACACATTCATTCACCTTACATGTACTTTGAAGCAATTTAAGTGATAAGAATGATTCATTCATCTATCACAGATCGACATATTTATATACTACGACTTGGTCTTATGGCGCACGGTGCATCAAAAGAGCTTGAGTAAGGTCTGGCATAGTGTTCATTGTATCTGGCATAGTGTTCATTGTATCACAGTCAAATCTTGACTCCGCAATGGATGAGTAGGTAGCACATCCTCAAACAATTTAATGAGAATTAGATGTATGTGTCTATTACTACCTTAAGGTGCTAAACCTCATAACATTACTCATACTTTCTTGCCATAAAAGGTCTGAAGAAATATTGAACTACAAGATTTTTGGAATTAGTACCCCGTGGAAGATAAGTTTGGATAGTAAGATATTGTGATGTACATAATACTACACAAAAGTCGGTAGTCAGGTTGCCCGTCTAAGAATATGAAAGAAAAGGAGAGGACAAGAAGGCAACAAAGGAGAAATCAAAGTTGAGCAACAGAAGGTGAATGACCAGGAAAAGGGAGAGTGTGCCGGTAGTAGATTCTTAGGGTGCGTTTGGCAAACTACACAAAACTCTAGTTTTGAACCGGTTTAGAGGCCATATTTTGGCCAATGAAAACAGGGCCAGATCTGGTCCTCTTGTTTAGCAAACAAAAAAACTTTCAAAACTAGGCTAGGTTTGAACCTGTCCTAGTTTTGAATGATTGCCAAACACATCCTAAGGTTTGGATATGAGCTTTTTTTTGGGTGAATTCCCAACTTAAGGAAATGATTGCAGAAATGAAAATTTGCATAGTTTAACTATATAGATAATGCAAAGCCCAATATATATGGAAGTTCCTGCAGCTTGGATTAGTTAATGGTCATGAGAAGGTTACATAGATCCTTTATTAGACTGACCCTTTAACCGTTATGTATGGTAAAGGATTTGATGGATAAAACTCAACTATCTTTGGCTGGTCCAAATAGCAGACCTGGATTTTATAAATTGTGTATCAACTACATGATTTCACTGAATGTAAACCACTAGTTGCATGCATTATGCTTCTATGCAGTGAGCATATTTTCTATAACATATAACCTTGACCGAGTATGGTAACTGTAAGAAAAGAACACCCAAGTTCACAGACTAGTGTAATAAAGCATTTAATGAGGACAGCATGATGCCCAAGCCTCACCAAAAAAATTCTCTTCATACTTTATAAAATGCGTTGAAAAGTGAAAATGCTTGGTGACACTTCTAAAGAAGTACAACAGTATTCAATGCTTCCTGTTGGGAATGTTATAGACAACATGTTCAGATTCTAGAGAATATCTTCCTCAACTCCATGTAATAACCTTGATCTTAAAGGCAAATTTCCATCTTTATATGGCGCAAGACGGATGCTCTCTTGAGGTTCCCTTTTAGCTGTATAATAAATGTCTACAGAAAATATGGACACAAAATATAGCACATTTCGCAATAAGTTTCAGGCAGGAAGCCCATTATAAGGTACCAGCATAAGGTTAATTGTGTTTAGGGTTTCTGGTCAAGTAGCCCATTATTAGGTACTAGCATAAGTTTCTTCACATCAGTGCACATCACATATTGCAGTGAAACCGGTTTCAAAAGGTTTACTCATACATTATTAGATGATGTTCCTGCAGATTCCTTCTGCTCGACAACAGCAACAGTTGGTCTCTTCCTTACAGTCACGCTTGAAGGCACAGGATAATGTTCAACTTCATCCCCTGACCTTCCTTCTTTGGCCTTCTTCTTTTGTAATACAAGCTTTGTAGGAAGTGGCTGCATAACAACAAGTACAATGACGTAAGACCAACATGTTACCTGCCACCAGCATACATGAATTCCATTTAAATATTACCAAATATCGTGCATCTTCTTCTCCAAAATTAACAAGGTATGTTGTGGGGTCATCAGCATCATCACCTCTCACCTGAAAAGGTGAGCAGTTTAAGTACAGAGTATCACTTCCATATAAATGATTCTAGATACCCATAAATATGCATTGAAGGAAGAAAGGTCCTATCCATGCACTTAAAAACAAAATTAATGAAACATACATCCCAGTGATACTCTCTGACCCAAGAGTATGACATATCTTCACTTTCATCATACATGTCCTTGTTTAGCTGCCAAAAGAAACAAGTGATATCAGTATGGCATCAAAGAAGAACAGCATGTATCAGAAGTTGTCGCAGAGCAATTGTGACTTGTGAGAGCTAAAATCTGAAGGTAGTATATACATATTTAGTTTTACCTGATAAAATGTAGGCTTATTAGTACTAAAGTTAACAACAAAAATAAAATAAGAAAGTTGCAAGAAACTTATAATTCAAACTGCGAAACAAGCAACCCAGATTCAGTTTATGGAGGAAGATTGCAATATTAACAAGAGTTATGGAAACAGCAATATAAGAACCTCATCTGGTGCAGGAACCATGTACGATAAAAACTTTTCTGGCTTTGTAGGATCAGAACCATTTACGACAAAACTCTTCATGATAGCCTGCAATAATGTACATAACATTGCAGTAATATGAGAAAAGTGGGAACCCAAAAACTGTATAGCTAGCAGAAAAAATTTTACAGGCAAATTTGAAATGAGGACCAAAAAGAAACTCAATTTCCCGTCTAAATGTTGGACTACATAAACGGACATGGTAGGTGGTAGTGCGATAACTGTATTTTAACAGTTGGTAAACCACGGCATGGGAATAGAACTTAGATTAGCAGAAACTCCGATAATGCTAAACACTGAATACTATGGAATATAATCACATTATCAAAGTTCCAGAGGTAAATGAAGATCGGTAAACAGTTGAACTCCAGGAGTCACAGGACTCACAACTGCTATAAGGAGAGTTCAAGTTTATTTTCCAAGCTGTAGCTTACAACTAATTCGGCACTAAACATAGTTTGCACTAATAGCACGAATATTCAAGCCTGTACTAATGTTAATACACAGAACAAACTTAACATTGACCTAATAGCCAAAAAGAAACATTCTTTACCAGTGATTCCACTTCGTCCCGAGTGGATCTGTCTAGTTTACTGTATGCTTCAGAATCAGCCGTAGGATCACTGTCAAATCCTACCATGACAAATCGATCGTCATACCTAATAAAGAAACAGAACAGGGTCATAAGACTTGAATAAAGAAGTGGGTAAAAAAAATCATAAACAATTGGTCCGAATTTCATTGACACTGAGTTGAATTTAATAGCAATTAAAGAATTTGAAGGTTACGTAACTCATCCCTCAACGATGTAGAAGTTTGACGAGAAAATATACAATATTACAATCAAAAGATATATCTATTAATTCTACTTGGTTGGTGCTCCTAATCATTTGACAACATTGACAAGACAATCTGCATTGACAAAATACAGGAACTATGCAATCCATCACTTAAAAGATCATAGAAATGGTTGTTCTAAAAGATTGATAATCTGTTCTGCAACTATAAAGAAGCATAACGGGGTGAGAGAGGGAAAAAATATAGTACTAAATATGATAGCTTGACTCATATCTCATATACACACACACACGCGCGCGCGCTCACACACACACACACACATAAACAGTAGCCTGCAAAGAGAAGCATACTTAAATATGATGCCATAATGAGTAGTCATAAAAAATTTATAAGTTTTAAACCTGAAACAAGAACATGGTATATATTTCTCATATTCAGTGACAGAGAAAAGTTCTCTTGATCAGCTTACAGTCAAAGGGAACCAAAATTGTTTGGATGTCTGATAATTGAAGTATCAACATATCATAAATAAAGCACTAAAGAAAATACCAAGAATGTATAATGAAAGAAAATGATCCAATTTGGCAACTTTACTCATCAGGAAATGCAGACAAACTACTCGCACCAACAAAGCCTTGTTTACTGTTACTGATCTTAATTAAAAAACATAAAAGATCAGAAATAAAATACAGAGTAAATGCATGCAGAAGCAAGCAGATAGATATGCATTCAATTCACAGGCAGAATATAAAAAAAGGAAGTATCCCAATTCCAATATAAACTGTAATGAAGTTTGCATACCGATCAAGATCAGGCAACAGGGGAAGAACCTCCACAGGTTTTAATGATGGATTGGTCTGATGGACCGGTGGTAATTTGGCAGCCTTGAAGGACTCCTCAATTGCTTGTATTTGTTTTTCTCTGATGTATAGAGAAGTATATTCAGTACTAAGGATAAACATCTAAATCTCAAGTGTCAAAGAAGTCACCGATCACATATAAGCAGAGTGGAGTATCAGCCTACCTGCTGTTAAGATTTTCCAATGAGAAATTCCGCCCTTCCCTAGCTTCCCGCATTTCTTTCGCTTGCTTTTCTGTCAAGGACTGATATTGCCAACAAACAGATGACTTAGAGAAACAATGAATTACAAGATACTCTTCTATAATAGTAAAATTGACAATTCATAATACAAATTCAAGTTATGGTACCAGTTTAGCTGAATCTGTGCTAAGAGGTGAGATATATTGTGTCTTCACCAACCATGAGACGCCTTTATCCGTAGGACGCTCTTTTATTCGAATACCTTCATGTTTAATAGGGGTTGCAACCTCACTATCATGTAATAGTGCTTCATCTTCTGGATCAAGGGGTGGGGGAACTTCAGGAGCTCTGGACAACAGTAAATTGATAAGATGAGCAACTAAAAGAATTGTGCAACAATAGGGTAAAAAATTGTTCTTAAGTCTTGATATCTTACTTGTATACACTAAGATCAAGTAAGTCAAGAGGTATCCCCATATCAGGTTCAACAAAAAGCTTGGGCTTGTAATTTTTCTCCAGTGAGGTGATAGTATACCTAGTATATCTGCAATGCAGTAAAAACTGTTAGAAAGCTAGTATAAAGAGTCAAACAGATTCTGTGCACAAAAATGTGAAAACTAATGCCACTTTGGCAGCAAGTAATTGGCAGGAAAGAGACAACTCAGAAAGAAATTAATGTATCAAAATCAGAGCATCTCTAGCTGATTTCTTATTTCAAAACAAACTAAAGTAGACTCAAACTTTAAAAAAAAGGGATATTTATGTATAGAATTTAATGATATGGGTGATGCTTAAAAGATGATGATGACATAATGCATGGGATGGTATGCAGTAAGCAACAATGTCAAGAAACTCAACAACTTGCATATCATCTACTGGAAGGCATAGGAAAGAGTTATCTTAATTACAGGAGTATAGGTACTTTACTGCTTAGTGAAATTATACGCCATAGTTAAATCAGCCTACATGGTCAAGCTAAGATCCAATATGGCCATGAAAATTGAAGAACAAGCATTAACAACAAAACAATAGACAGTTAACGTATTACCTTAGAAATAAATTAAGATAAGTAAAGTTGCTGGCAAATAATGTAGGCTCAAAATATATAAATAAATAAATAATAGTAAATAAATAAGAAGCTGTTTAACCAGAAAGAAATGCAGAAAGCAGTCTACGTACCGATCTTTATCAGTCAATACAGGCAACAATTTCGGTTGTGCTGTTGGATCTGGCAACTCATTCCGAAACCTGCATTTATAAAAGAAACAGGTCGCCATTTGATTCATATGAAACAATAAGTAAATAAGAAAACCATAATATAGCAAAATATTTAAGCAGCTCATTTTGCTAAATGAGCTATCCGCACATATACATAATACATTTTATCCCTCTATGGAAAAATTAGGTACAATACGGTAAGTTGAAGTTACTGAATGAGCTACCAAAGAACATGCTAAAGGAGTAGGTGGCGTCAGCACTTCTGTCTCTTGGCAACTCATTTTGCAAAATGAGTTGTTATTTTGTCTCCCATATCCCAGTAATCAAGAAGAAAGAGGTGGATCTCGCCACTCTATTTATTGGTAGCTCGTTTGCCAAATGAGTTGACTAAAATCTACAATTCCATATGGGGAAAAAATTGGGTATGAGGTGGTAACCCATTTTGCCAAATAAGGTACAAAGAGATATGCTAATGGTAAGGCTCCAGTTGAGTAACATTGGAGTATGTGGGCCTCATCACTCTTATTTCTCAGTGACTCATTTTGCAAAAATGAAGTGTCAGCTCATAACAAGTATCCTTTATATCAACTAGTAGATAATTGGTGTTGAGTCATTAAAATCAGTAAACACTCAACTAACAACGAGATAAACACTAGTCACGTTGAACTCAAATGATACATGAGACTATAATCTAATAGAGGGTTTTACTATTCCACATTTTTACAATCAAATGTCAAGCATTGACATTTTAAAAACCCATAATATACTCTTGCTAACTAATTAAAAAATCATTAAAGGCAGATAAAATAATTGATACTCAGAAGATCAAATTTGAAGATAGTCAAGCAAGCAAAAATACCCTAAACACAAAAACTCAATAGCTAACGATCAATTCATATCCTATCAACTCACTTCATCCTGCAAAGGAATGTCGTAGGCTTCTTGAGCCGATTCTCAATCCTATCCCCGCTCAACAATGGTGTCGACCTCCTGTCCATCATCTTCGAACCGGAGGCCGATCCGTGATGGTGCTTACTATGACCTGATCCTCTCGAACCCACAGCCTCCTTGGTCCTCTGCAGCACGCTCGCCTGTGACTGTTTCAGCATATGCTGCCTCCTCTCCTCTGCCCTCTGCTTCTCGTACTCCCTCTTCTTCCTTGCCCTCCTCTCTTCCTCGGTCTCCGCCCTCTTCTGCGGCTGTTTAGGTGGCAAAGAACTATCTTTTCGATGCAGTTCCGAGGGTGGCGGAGGCGGTCGGCGCGGCCAAGCAAGGAGGAGGGGCGGGGGAGCGGGAAGCAGGCGGCGGCGGCGGTGGGCGGCACAGATTGCGCGAGGCGGGAGAGGAGGATGCGATAGAGGCTGGAGTTGTAGCTGAGAGGACGAGGGGTTAAGTTACATTTGGGGCGGGAGGTTTGCAGGCGGGGGCGAGGAGGCGGGCACGCGCGTACGAAGAAGAACTGGCGTGCCGCGGCGGAGGAGCCCCGAAACGGGAATTAGCTGCTGGTGTTTGATGGCGATCGATGGAGCGGAGGCAGCAGAGGAGGAGGCTGTGCTGATATGGTAGCTTTCTGAGATTGGGGTTGCTAAAATTTAGGTTACGGGTTTTTTAAGGGGGTTTTTTCCGGCGCGTAGCTCGAGTGATGAAGCTATAGGCTGCTGGTGCGTGGTGATGGTCCGATCGCGAAGACACGCGCGGGGCGAGGAGGAAGGAGGAGCGTGAGATCGTGTTAGGGTTTGAGCGGCGGAGGAGGCGGACAGCGAGCGAAGGATGATCGGCGGCTGAGCGCGATGGCGGATCGCAGGCGGCGAATGGCCTGTAGGAGGCCATTGAGGAAGAGATCGAAACCCTAAACCCAGCGGCAAAAGAGAGGATCGAGGTGAAAGAAAAAACTAGGGTTTTCACAGATATAGAGGACCTTGGGCCTTTGATTGATAAATCAAAGGCCTAAGATGCTATTTAATTAGGAGATATTAGAAACACTATGATCTCGATCTCATTCTCAAAGGTGAAGGTGGCATCATTCTCGCGTTTTTGAGGTGTTATTGATGCTTCCTAATAGTGCTAGGGCTCAGCATTTGCCTCCATACATTTTCTTGAGTGTCATTAGAAATAAAATCATTATGTTTATTTATTTTTCTCTTAAGCTAGAAAGTTCCTAATGTTAACCGTATTATATTAGATTAGATTTCTTCAGGGTTGGTTGTCTGAAAGTGGAGGGTGCAAAATTGTAATTTTTTAACTTCACTATACGGTCGGTGTTTTAACTAGTGACATGTTTGGAACTAACAAATGTAGTTGCAACATCATGAAATTTGATTTGATTGATATGGTTGGAACATTAATGTTATTCCTATCTGCATCTATGAGTGTTTGGTTGGATATAGTTGTAGCAAAGAATGTTGATGCAACACCGCTAATGTGTTAAGAATGTGGGGTAAGGACTGCGTCCACAGCTTGAAAATTTAGAGTGTGGCAGCAAATTTTTAAAGTTGAAACTTATGAACGCAACAATTTGTGTTGCAAACTACTTGTGGATAAAACCTGGTATCCAGTTCATTTTACAAATTGGAAATCAAGTTATATAAGGGTGGAGATGTGGGCCGGGCCGGTTCGGCTGGTGAGGTGGGCCCGCCGGATCATGGGGCTGGGGGCGCGGGTCGCCGAACCCGGGCCCTCTCGGGTCTAAGAAGTGGGCCGGACCTATTTCTCTGATCCTCCCGGATCTGGGAATTAGACCCGACCCGAGCCACGATCTCCCTAAGGGTCGGCCGGGGCGGGTTTGGGCCACGACCCCAGGTCGTGGGTCAGCCCCAATCAGGTTTTTTTTAAACTTTTTCTAATTTTTTTTGTTTTTAATTTCTAACTCATATTAGACTTTGTATTCAGTAATTATTAGATTATAGTTTAATTATTTTTATTTCAACTGCTGCGAGCATCTTATTTAAAATAATATATATACACACACATTGTACAATGATAAACATTACAGCAGCTCACGCGAGAAAACATCACAAATACAAAGATATACATAGTTCGGACTTCGAATAAAGTACCTGCATCACATATATTAATAATTTTCGCTTTAGTCTAAATTTAAATTAAACAATACAAGAAGAAAAATGTTAATTATAAAACTAAAACTGAAACTAATAATTAAAATTCGGGGTCGGATTCGGGCTAGGCCGGGCCGGGTCGATGGTGGGTTCGAGCTTATTTTCTCTAGTCCTTCGGGCGTGGAGTTGGACCTACAGCCGCGACTCGTACACCGGCGTATATCCACGGTCCGGGTCATGACTTATGGCGGCTGAGGACCGAGTCAGGCCGCGCGGGTCGATCGGCGGTTGGCGCCCAACCGCTGAAGTTTATACATCTAATTTAGGAATGGGCCATCGGGTGAATGCGATTGATTAATTAGTAGGTTACTTATATTTCATAAGTTCATTAACGTCGCTGACATAACCAAGTCTATACTTTAGCCTAAATTACACTGCACTAAACAATACGGTAATATGCTAGCATGAATCATTTCATAATTGATAAAATCTACAAAGCTAAAAAGCTTTGCGGCGATAGCAGCTGCCTTTTGTTTATAGTGTAGTGGTCAGGTTTGCTTGGTGATGGCTGCTTTTATATTGGTTTTTTTTTTCAGCATTCTTTTTGTAGTTTTTTATTTTTTAGTGATGCTATGGTAGGTTAGGAAACTCTGTAGCGTTATTCTGGAGGGTGAAGCGACTAGGGTCCGGCTCCCTCTGATATGCATCTTGCCTTCGTTTCTATCGTTCAACCATTTTTGTGGCTTGTAGCCAGTGTTTGATTTTGTATATAGGCCTAGACTTTTTGTCTATAGGCAATATATTTTAAACAGGAATATCTCAGCCCTGTTGTTCCTGCTTGTAAAAAAAAATTCATTGATAAAATTGTGTCAAAAACTGATTGAACCAACATGTACGCCACCTAGCGTCCTTAGCGTCATATATATTGCTTTTTTAATATATGATGATTTTGTTGTTGTTCTTTCTCACGATGCCTATTCTTTTTCTTTTCCACAACTCTATTCATTTTCAGCATTTGAATTAAAAATAATAATAATTGAAAGTGAAGAACAAATTATCTCAGCTCGTAAACGATTTTTCCATTTCCCGGCAGTGTATTTTTTTTGGGCTTGTAGATTCCTTAATCCCTCGACCCAAGTTCATCTGAGAGGGTGGCAGCGCATCTTCTCCAATTCATCATTTTTCTGATTAAATGCCGTAGTTTTCCATATAAATCCGGCTTTATTGAATAATCACTTCACCAGCGCAACGCAGGCAGCTCTTCGGCTCTCTGCTCTGAGTCTCAGGTTAGATCGCGCGAAATAGTCCCCGACCAACCAAGCCCTACTGGCATCCTCGTTCTTAGGTCGCGAATCGCCGAGCGTCCTCTATATCTGTGAAAACCCTAGTTTTTTCTTTCACCTCGATCCTCTCTTTTGCCGCTGGGTTTAGGGTTTCGATCTCTTCCTCAATGGCCTCCTACAGGCCATTCGCCGCCTGCGATCCGCCATCGCGCTCAGCCGCCGATCATCCTTCGCTCGCTGTCCGCCTCCTCCGCCGCTCAAACCCTAACACGATCTCACGCTCCTCCTCCCTCCTCGCCCCGCGCTGTCTTCGCGATCGGACCATCACCACCACCAGCATGCCTCATACTTCATCACTCGCAGCTACGCGCCGGGAAAAAAACCCCCTAAAAAACCCTAACCTAAAATTTTAGCAACCCCAATCTCAGAAAGCACCAATCAGCACCAGCCTCCTCCTCTGCTGCGCTCCGCTCCATCGATCGCATCAAACACCAGCAGCTAATTCCCGTTCTCGGGGCCTCCGCCGCGGCACCGCAGTTCTTCTTCGTACGCGCGTGCCGCCTCCTCCCCGCGCCTCAAACCTCCGCCCCAAATGTACTACCCCTCGTCCTCGATCAGCTAGCAACTCCAGCCTCTATCGCATCCTCACTCTCCCGCCTTCGCGCAATCTGTGCCACGCCCCGCCGCCGCCGCCTGCTTCCCTCTCCCCCGCCTCTCCTCTTGCTTGGCCGCGCCGACCGCCTCCGCCACCCTCGGAACTGCATCGATCGAAACCCTAACCCAGGGAAAAGAGAGGATCGAGGTGAAAGAAAAACTAGGGTTTTCAAGATATAGAGACGCGGCGATTCACGACAAGAACGAGGATGCAGAGGGGCTTGTTGTCGGGGACTATTTCGGGATCTAACCTGAGACTCAGAGAGGAAGAGCTGCTGGTTGCGCTGTGAAGTGATTATTCAATAAAAGGGATTTATTATGGAAAACTACGCATTAATCAAGAAAATGATGATTGGAGAGATGCGCTGCACCCTCTCAATGAACTATGGGCCGAGGGATAAGGAATCTACAAGCCCAAAAAAAAATACACTGGGGAAATGGAAAATTCGTTTAGAGTTGAGATAATTTGTTCTTCACTTTCAATTATTATTATTTTTAATTCAAATGCTGAAAAATTGAATAGAGTTGTGGAAAGAAAAGATAGGATCGTGAGAAAGAACAACAACAAATCATCATATATAAAAAAGAATATATATGACGCTAGGAGGTGGGCGTACATTTGGTTCAATCAGTTTTGACAAATTTTATCAAATGAATTTTTTTTAAAGCAGAAAACAGGGTGAGATATCCTGTTTAAAAATATATTGCTATAGAAAAAGAGTCTAGGATATACAAAATCAAACACTGGCTAAGCCACAAAAAGGTGACGATAGAAACCGAAGAAGATGATATCAGAGGGGAGCGGACCCTAGTCGTCACCCTCCAGATAACAGCTACAGAGTTTCCTAACCTACCATAGATCACTAAAAAAATAAAAACTACAAAAAGAATGCTGAAAAAAAAACCAATATAAAGCAGCCATCACCAAGCAAACCTACCACTACACTATAAACAAAAGGCAGTGTATCGCGCAAAGTTTTTAGTGTGTAGATTTTATCAAATGAAATTGATTCATGCTAGATATACGTATTGTTTAGTGCAGTGTAATTTAGAGTATAGACTGTTTATGTCGGACGTTATGAACTTATGAAATATAAGTAACTCTACTAATTAATCAATCGCTTCACCCATGGCATTCTAAATAGATGTATAACTTCAGGGTTGGGCGCAGACCGGATCGACCCGCGGGCTGACCCCATAAGTCATGACCCGGACCGTGATATACGCGTGTTACGAGTCGGGCTGGGTCCAACTCCAAGCCCGAGACTAGAGAAATAAGCTCGACCCACCATCGACCCGGCCCGGCCTAGCCCGATCCGACCCCGAATTTTAATTATTAGTTTTCAGTTTTTAGTTTTTAATTAACATTTTTTCTCTTGTATTTTTAATTTAAATTTAGACTAAAGGAAAATTATTAATATTATGTGGATGCAGGTCTTTATTCGAAGTCCGAACTATGTATATCTTTGTATTTGTGATGTTTTTCTGTGTAATGTTTATCATTGTACAATGTGTGTGTATATATATTATTTTAAATAAAGAGTGAAATAAAAAATAATTTAAATATAATCTAATAGATACTAATACAAAGTTAATATAGTTTAGAAATTAAAAACAAAAAATTAGAAAAAGTTTAAAAAAAACCATGGGCTGACCCACGACCTGTGGGTCGTGGCCCAAACCCGCCCCGGCCCGTCCCTAGGGAGATCGTGGGTC